ATTGATGACGTCACGGTAAAATACTTTTTAATTAATCGAATAGTTGCAATTTAACGAAGGGAAGGTTTACTTAGAGATTTGAGAGGAAAACAGATGTAATCGTATCTAAGTAATTTGAGGTGGTACATTACGTCACCATATTACGTCACCCCACTTAAGAAGTCATATTTTTTGTGACATTCTTTTGACTTTATTTTTCCACTTTAGACTTTGCCCCGATTCTAAAATCGGTAATATGATCACATACGAGGTTATTCCTATTTCATTTCTATAGTACCAAGAACGCCGCTGCTTTTACTTTTATTGTTCCTGAACTTAGACCTCATTGAGACCCCTCGGAATTTCTAAGCACATCACTCATTTTTTTTTCAGGGCAAAAATCTAGCTCTGTTTTTTTTTAATCTCTCACTGCAACTCTAGGCATGCCACCTTTACATATCCTCAAGTAGAAGAGTATTTTCAATACCCCTTACTCGATTAATGATTCCTGTTTTGGAAGAATCTAATTTTTGTAGCGATAGAATTCCAGGAGTTCGATATCATTACTGGATCCATATTGCTAATAAATTTAATAATTGAAAAATATCCAATATTTATTTATTATTACATAAAAAAAATAATGATTAGTTAATCATTAAATTTTGTCTCCAATTAATGCAATTTAACTACTTACCTTTAGTTTGTCATCCCATTTATTGAAATTCAATTGATTTAAAAAAAAAAGAGTTGTACATTCCTTACCCCGAGGTGTACCGAAGCTTTAGGCTGGAATGAGCGTTAGAAATTCTCTGAAACTCTAGCTGAACCTTTACCTCATTTGCTAAAAGAAGCGAACGCATCCTATATAATATTTCTGAACAGAAATGAATTCTATCATATTTGGAATACCTAGAGAAGAGAAGAGAAGAGAAGAGAAGAGAAGAGAAGAGAAGAGAAGAGAAGAGAAGAAGAAGAGAGAGAGAAGAGAAGAGAAGAGCTCTAAAAATTTCAGACAATTTCGCCATGAACCTACAAATTACAAATTACTCAAAGGTTAACAGCAAAATTATCTAAGATTCGTAAGACAGGGTATTCTAAACATGTTGGAATACATTTCCGGTACAAAAAAAACGGGCTAAAAAATGATTTAAAGTTGATAAAAATAACACTTTTGCCGGGAAAAAAAAACATGGCCGCTACCATATAAATTGTAATTTAAACTTCACATTTGTTGACTTATTTTTAAAATCATTTTTAATAAACGTGTATATAATTCAAGTATTTTAAATTTTTGCTTGATTATTGTTATATGTATATCTCTCCGAAATCAATTGAAATACGTCCATAAATGTCAATTATGTATCGACAGATACAACAATTATTACTTAAATTTAGAAGATTAAGAGCAGCAGTATATCTGTTTTTTTTACGATAAAATAATTTTTATTTTTAATCTACAGTTACGTATTTTATTTACAGTGGTTGAGTAAGGCTAAATATTAGTGTTGTTAAACGGCTATAATGGTTAACTCAATACTTTGGCCAAAAAAAGATTGCCTAAACCTCAAAATTTTCACCAATTATATTCCTAGACCTTTTTGCCTTCTACCAACAAAAACTTCAGGATGGCTTAATATTTTTCTGGATAAAATGTTGAGCTAGTCTTTATCGGCTCAAACACTACTATATATATATACATTATACGATTTTCAATTAACTAAATATTGTGTACTTTTTTGGGAACACATATTACTTATATACTTTCATTTTTTTTTTAAAAAACTTTGATATAACATTTCCTCAAATTAAGATTAAGTTCGCGATTTTTGCGTCTTTTTATTTACTGTGGCTAAGATAAAGATTTCAGCTCAAAATAATATCATGCAAGCTTGGAGATTTTGTTCATAAATGGAAAAGGTTTTGCACCTCTATTTGCCCAAATCTTACATATCATATCTGGGCCATTCCACGTCAAATCAATCACGATTCGGCCGACCCTTTTTAAAATTGTTAAAAATTTCTGGAATTATTTAGATAAGTAAATGAGTGAGAAAGCCGTTTATTTTAGCTCGCTAGCACACCTCGTTCTCGAGATATAGCAGCTCAAAGGTACAAAAATGAGCCACTTTGGAATCTGTAAAATTTTAAAAATGCTAATATCTCAAAAATTATTTATAGTAAAAAAAATTATAATATATCATTTTGTAGGTAAAGAAATTCTCTATTGGGCTAACAAAGAATAATAAATATTGGTGCCATTATAAGCTTTTAACATCCGATTTACCTAAATTGCTTAACCTGTATTTTTAAGCAAAATGGTTAGTTTGTTTTCAAATTTTTTTTATTGCTTTTTATTTAGACACCTTTGCTAAATATATATACAATATCAAAACCTTGGCGACGCTACCGACTCCAAAAATTGATAAACAAATAAATGGCGCTTTATGAAATTACGGATTATGGTTAAAATTTTGCTGCTAACTTATCAATAACCAGATATTTTCACTTTTTATACTAAAAATTTTGATTTTCTATTAAATATACTAATTAACTGAGGAGCAGACTGGGCATATGCCCATTGGACACTTAATAATGTAACAAATTTCCAATAATAAATATCTTTCATATAATTTTTTTAATTTTTAAGGTATCTACAATTACATCGAATTTTTCATCATTTGATCAAGATAATGGTATAATTTTTGTCATTAATACTTTTTTTTCTTCGAACATTTCTTAAGCCTTTTCCCATAATGAGAGATTCCCCATTTGATTGTAGGGATATATTAATGTTATCAATAGCCTCTTGGTTAATTATATGAAGGGGAGAATCAATATCTACAATGTCATTTGAAGTATAAGGAATGTTTGCTAATATTTATCACAATGAAGAGCATATTAACATATCTAAATTGAATGGTAAATTTTTTTGGGTCATCCAGGGTAGAATTTTTCTTAGATTCTCCTCTGTAGATTAAATGGGTTGCAACATTTTAATATTTGGTACGTTCATCTGTGATATAGAATAAAATTTTAATTGATCCACCTAGAATACATGTTTTCACACTTTCCAAATCCACATTGTTATTGACGATAAAATTAATCTGAACGGATAGGTTAAAATTATTTCGCAGAAAGAGAGATTGTTTTAAACAATTTATTTTGTAAAATATAATCAAATATATGCATAATAAAATATTCGTTTTTACTGCAGCTGTTATATATTATCGAGTTAATAATTCGCTCGCTATACTAGCAAAGTAGAGATCTAAAAAATGTAAAACATTTTAAGTATAGTGAGAGAGGGGGGGAACTGGAAAATTTTATCACAATTCTTATAAACGTATCAATATTTTCATTTTCCTTAAGATTAATATTTTTCAACCATTAGCGCCATCTATATTTTTGGTAAAAATGTATATTTCGGAAAAGTCGATAGCGTCGCCAAAGTTTTGACATTGTATATATATTTATAAAAGGTGTCTAAATAAAAATCAAAAATTCGAAAACAAACTCTATTTTGCTTAAAAATACAGGTAAAGCAATTTAGGTAAACCGGATGTAAAAGCCTATAATGGCGCCAATATTTATTATTCTTTGTTAGCCCATTAGAGAATTTCTTTACCTACAAAGATATATTATAATTTTTTTTTACTATAAATAGTTTTTGAGATATAAGCATATTAAAAATTTTACAGATACCAAAGTGGCTCTTTTTTGTATTTTTGAGCCCCCATATCTCGAGAACCAGGTGTGCTAGCGAGCTAAAATAAAGGGCTTTCTCATTCTTTTACCTATCTAAATAATTCCAAAAATTTTTAACAAGGTGAGCCGAAAGAGCCTTTTTTGATCGATTTGACATGAAATGACCCATTTGCTAAAAATCTTAATACACAAATCGGGGTCGTTGTAGTACCATTTGCAGGGCCCGGATTTTATATATTCAAGCCCGTCCTAGATTCTATATTTTCAGGCCCGGCTCGGATTTTTTTTAAAAAAAATAATTTTATTAACTTTTAATTTTTATAGATAATAACGGTGATTTAAAATATTTGGTTTTTAAATATACGTTTTTAGGCCCAGCCCGGGGTATATTTAAAAAAAATTAAAATACGACCCAGCCTACAGGTATATATGTTTTAAAAATCATAAAAAAAAACCATTATTTTAATAATATAAGCAGCTGCTTCAAAACCATTTGGCTCCTTCAAACAAAAACCTTTATATATATAACGGTTCGGACCCCCTGATAATAAGAAGCAGTAACGATTCAATACCTAGAGTATTATAGTATACAAAGAATTGAGTTTTGTGGTACTTTTATAAAAAATAATAAATACGCGTAACGCATCCCATTTTTTAAATCGATGGTTGTCTTTCTTACTAATTTCGTCGATTCAAAAATTTTAATCTCATTTATAGTAAAGGCGTCACGTTCAAGCGGTGCGTTATCTACAAAATCAAGCCAATAGGTATAGTTTATGATGATAACGCTATGCTATGACAACATTGGAAAAACATATATCGAGGCAGGTGTCGTTCAATGGCTCAATTTGAACTTAAAAAAGGCTAACTCAATATTTTAGCTAGGAAAATATTCCCTAAGCGCTGAGAGATGTTTAAAACTTTGTGCCATCTAAGAACAAGATCTTCAGGCTTGAGTATTATTTTTCTGGATAAGATATTGAGTTAGCCATTTTTAAAGGTTGTAACTATTAATGCCATGAAGAAACAGCCACTATTACGATAGCGTTAAATAACGAAACGCATTTAACTATAAATCTAGCCTAAGTTATGACAAAAATAATTTGATTTTGTAAAATTATATTGCCAAACGGCAAATTTTACCAAATTTGCAACGATACCATTTGAAATGCATTATTCACGTTTGCTTAATAAGTTACATTGTAAAATAGGTTAATTTTCATTCATTATATAAAAATAATAAAATTTGTACAACGCATGTTCTGTTGATATAATAAATACAATATTCTATAGGAAGAAGATGAACGGCAAGCGGAATACAAATCATATAGACTTTGTTTTTTTTGTGGATATAAAAAAATATATGATAAGTTTATGAAATATAAATTACACGTCGGATTATATACTTTCGAAATTTTGATAAATAAAAGAAATACCCATTACTCATCGTACATTATAAATCGCGTACAACATTGTTTTTGTGTGTATATATATAATGACTGTTTATAATACAATATATATATGTATAAATAATAAATTGTTGAAGATAGGTAATTGCATATCATTCGTTTATATATAATCTTCAAGGTCGATTTCGTCTTCTAACCCGACATCGTTATCGAATTGGGATTCAAAATTTTCTAAAGTTTGAAAGTCGACTTTGTACCTAAGAATTCCTTTTTTTTAAAAAACAAATGTATTAATAGCTAGCTACATTTTTTTTATTAACGGTACTTGTAACTGTATTTTTTAGAAAATGTAACGACAGTGTAAACGAAAGTAACTCTTAAAATATTTCATATATTTATATAGGTTATGAATTTTTTTGGGGCAGTAAAATTAATCATAATGAGTTGATGTAATTATTGTCAAAAAATAGGTTGTTTTCAAATATGGGTTTGACGCAGCTGTAAATGCGTAGGTATTATAGGTAAATTGAAAATGATTGACACATGCCCAAATCACCCAATGACTTAAATCAATCCTTTTTTTAAAAAAAATAGAATGATACTTAATATGATAGTTACATTAAGTTATTAAAAAAACATTAAAATTAAATTGTTTTATTTCTCCCATTCTAATTTTCATTTTAAATATATTAAGTAATGAACATATTTGGTTGAGTTTTATCGTTCCAAATTAGGGGTTTATAGCCGGAATTGGATTGGCAACTGATAATTTTTTTTTAACGAGAATTATATATAAATATTTTTTTGAATAATTTGGTTAAAAGAAGAAATCGCCCGCATTAGAACTTTGAAAGCTTATAACTCGGGAAATACATTTGAGATGTATTTTATAAAAAAATATATGCTCACTTATATAAAAACAACTTATCTGGTTTCGTACAAAAAATTGTCATGGAACAATCCTATTAATCAACTTAAAATTTTTCTTCTTAGCAACAAAAATTTATGGAGGAGCCATATTTTTTTTTATAATGAATATTATATAGAGAATTTCCCCTTAGTTTTGCCGTGTAATTATTATTTATTCAATTTTGTATTTTCCATTAAATTCCCTACGATAAACTATTTAAGAAAAAGTTACTAGTATTTAATAAAATTATCGATTATAGCAAAAAGGTTAATAAATAACTATACAAAATCGATAATAAACCTTTTATTTTTCTACAAAAAAATATAAAAATTAGGTGTATCTTATTACCTTTTTTTGTAAATATCAAAGAATTTTTTTAAAAAATAATAATGTTTAGGGTTTTATTTAAGTTTATAAATTTTGAACCTAAAAGGTCGCGGTGATCACTGTCCGAATTTAACATTTTATTAATCACTCAAAAGATTTTTAACTTGGGAAGGGCTATGGGAATTTTTTTTGAGTTATTGAATCGTGATTATTTATTTTTTATTAGGAAAGTTGTTTTATTTTGCAGGGCAAGTCATGTTAGGAAAAATTTTTTTTTTTCTTTCTTACAATTTTAGAAATTTAAATCACCGATATCTGTTCATTAATTTATTTTATAAAATTTCTTTCATTTTTAGATTATTTCTTAAAACATATTATCTGAAAAAAAATAAAATAAATTTTGTGCTCGAGTCAGGGGAATTTATGTTTTTTTCCCCTTATATGTATTTTTTTAAAAACAAACAGTTTTTTTTGTTTTTTTGATTTTCCAAGCCGATTCTAATGTCAGATATTATGAAAAATGACGAATTTACAACAAAAAAAAACACAAATTCAATAAATTATGATAATGATTGTAAAACCTCCGATTCCCCCAAAACCCCGACAGAATTGGGATCCTTCTTGCGATTTGTCCGTTATGATTTCCAAACTCGCTCCTGCGCAAACGAATTATATTAAAGATTGGTCAAAAGATATTGATTGATAAAATAACATGTTTGATTTAATATTGTACACACACACAAAAAAAAGGCATAACAAATTTATATGGTCAATTTTAAATTTACCCTCTTCTATTACGGCAATATGTAAAGTTGCAAAAAATAAGAGGTCACGTGACCATCGTTATTAATTCTTTGTAATTATTTTAAAAAAGGGGGGGAGGGCTGTTGGCCACACTAAAATTCTAGACTGATCAAGTCTCGGAATCTAAGAATAATAAATAAAATAGTTAGAAATGTCCCGAAGTCGTTTTTAATTCTTGAAACTCATTTCAGATTTTCAGAAACTAGGACACCCTACATTTATAAGTGTGGACTTAAATCTAAATATTCCTTTTTATTCTGGTTAGAATGAAACTAAAAAATAGGTAATGAATGTATAGAAATAAGCTGAGTCAGGACAACGAGCGTTTCAATAAACATATTCCAATTAAAAATTTCGGGGTATTAGTTTGTGGTTAGATAAATTATATCAGTGTGTCTATTAAAGTGAGTAGTTTTATTGCTACACAACTTCTCGGCGCCTTACAAGGTTACCGAGTAGAAAAGCATCGAAGTGTTGATACCATTAAATTATTAACGTACGCTTTATTAGAGCGTGCCATTTGATTTGTTGTAACAACACTCGAATCAAATTAATTTTAAATTTGATAGTTTTTTATATTATTAAAAAACATCATGTTTATGGCGAAAGAAAAATGATTTTAAAGGTATGTACGTACATATTTATATACTAATTAGCAGAGTTGTTAAAAGATACTTTTAAAATGGATCTAGATACAGATACATCGTCTAAAATAATGTCTAGATACCGATATTTTAATCAAAAATCTATCTAGATACAGATACCACTTTTTTATATCTAGATACAGGATCTAGATCCTTTAACAACTCTCCTAATTAGTGTTGTTAAAGGGCTCCTTTTGAGCCGATTTTAAAAAAATGGCTGATTCAACATTTTATCCAGAAAAATATTACACAACCCTCAAGATTTTGCTCGTAGAAGGAATAATGAAATCTCGAAGATTAGGCAATATTTTGCTGGCTAAATTATTAAGTTAGCTAAAAATAATTATCAACCATCTGAAATGAGAAAGCTTTGTCGAGAGGCCAATCTAGTTCTTATCGATGCGGCATCGAAGGAACTAAACTTATTGCCCGGTTCTATTTATTGATTGATGGCAATGGACATGACCACATCATAAGCATTAATGCCTCGTGTGCTAAATAGGAATCTCTCTTTCTATACCGTTTAGGAGGGGGGGGGGGAAGCTATGATTCCTGTTTAGCCATCTATGACGTCGAGACACAACCACAGTGATTTCTTTTAAAAGGGTTCCAATAAACATATTTCAACTAAAGTTTTGGGTCAAGACCTACCGGGACCGATAAAAAAATAATTTAGCGGGTGTTTCGTTTGTAGTTATTATTTTAATACTAACTTTTATAATAAAATAATACTAACTTTTATTTATTAACTCTAAAAATAACTCTATATTTAATATTTATTAATATATATATTATCTCTCCGATTAAATATATTCTATTTGGTATTTCTTTTTTTTAATAAATTCTAGGTATTTCTTTATTGTATAAATCTAAGTATTTAATTATAAATTTTGTATCTAACAAATTCTAATATCTTTTCATAAAATATAATCATAAATTTCATAATGATTCAAAATGTCTACATCAAAAATTCTTTTCTTTGTTTTACAATTATTATATTCATCCGCATTAATTCTTTATCAATCAATATAAACCAAAATCAATATTTTTTATATTTCTAAATATATATTAATAATTGATTGACATTTATAATTTAATAATAATATTGATAAATATATATATATATATATAATATACCAACATATATGAAATATACACTGCAAATATATAAGAAATATATAACACGACCGCCAAAAAAAAATCCAAGACGTAATGATAAAAAAAAATATGTGAACTTGAAATTTCTATATTTATTCAATATCTTTGTCCTCTTTCAACATCTCATTTTCTTCAGTCTCCATTCAAGTATATTTCTTTTGTAAACCCATATTATCGTTCATTTTAATCACGGTCAAATGAGAGAAAACATGAAAAATTTATCCAGAGATGTGTCCAACTTAAAAATTAAAAATAATAATGTGATTGAAAGATGTGAACTTTGTGGAAGAAAGGGACATATCGGTAAAAATTGTTATTCAAGACACCGATTATAACAAGATTAATGAGTTAGAATCTCGTCAAAAACAATATGGGAATAGACCATGGCCACCGCATAATTATGATGGAAAATTTAAAAGAACAAATGGAATACAAGCTAAAACCGTGGTGGGAACAAATTCAATTATGGAAGATAAATAAAATATTATACTAAGATGTCAAATATCAGTGACAAGGCTACCAAAATGAGTTCGACCGTGATTAAAATGAACGATAATATGGATTTACAAAAGAAATATACTTGTATGGAGACTGAAGAAAATGAGATGTTGAAAGAGGACAAAGATATTGAATAAATATAGAAATTTCAAGTTCACATATTTTTTTTTATTATTACGTCTTGGTTTTTTTTTTGGCCGTCGTGTTATATATTTCTTATATATTTGCAGTGGATATTTCATATATGTTGGTATATTATATATATATATATATCAATATTATTATTATTAAATTATAAATGTCAATCAATTATTAATATATATTTAGAAATATAAAAAAATATTGATTTTTGTTTATATTGATTGATAAAGAATTAACGCGGATGAATATAATAATTGTAAAAGAAAGAAAAGAATTTTTGATATAGACATTTTGAATTATTATGAAATTTATGATTATATTTTATGAAAAGATATTAGAATTTGTTAGATACAAAATATATAATTAAATACTTAGATTTATACAATAAAGAAATACCTAGAATTTATTTTAAAAAAAGAAATACCAAATAGAATATATTTAATCGGAGAGATAATATATATATTAATAAATATTAAATATAGAGTTATTTTTAGAGTTAATAAATAAAAGTTAGTATTATTTTATTATAAAAGTTAGTGTTAAAATATAATATTTTATATGTAATATATTAATTTCCAAGAATTTAAAATAATATTTTCCAAGCCTTTCTTTATTTTATAATTCATAAAAATCATCATAATTTTTTTTATAATCGTCTCATAAAAATTCTTTTCTTTGTTTTACAAATATATATCCCTCCGCGTTAATTCTTTATCAATCAATATAAACAAAAATAATATCATTTATATTTCTAAATATATATTAATAATTGATTGACATTTATAATTTAATAATAATAATATTGATAAATATATATATATATATAATATACCAACATATATGAAATATCTACTACAAATATATAAGAAATATATAATATATTATAACTATAAGAGGTCCCCTATAAAATATTAAAAATCAGGTGATCTATCACTAACTTTTTTTTTAAAATAAAAGTAATCAAACTTATATTAAATGTATCTCTCAAAAAAGCGATAGCGAATTTTAATATATAAAAAAAAAGTATATAAACCGAATGTTTTATAGTTGTTGGCTAGCCATTCCAATAGAGATTGACTCTCGATAATCTCCATTTCAACGCCAGTCTAATGATTTTATAAATGAATTTTTTTTTTAAAAAAAAAAAAATAAATAAATAATTAATGATGAATAAATACACAAAGATTATCTTTTAGGCTAATTAATTTTTTTTTAAAGAAGGGGATATAATAGTATTGCGGCAAATAAATAATTAATTGACACATCGAAACTGTTTTTTTTATAGAACCTGGACAAGCGTTGTCTAACAGCTGATTTGGGCCGATTTTTTTGGGATAACTCAATATTTTAGCCGTTTATTATTGTAAGCCTAGGGATTTGCTTTAGATGTCCAAACCTTCGTGTTTATCTACGAGCAAAATCTTTAGCCCATTATGTGCAGCTCACAAATCGAACGGCATGACAACACCAACCCTGGGGGGGGGGGGGGTAAGAATCGGGAAATGTAGCGGGATTTGTGTTTTTGGAGAGCATTTATTTTATCAGCAGGGTCCGGGAAAATAGGAAATACACAACCGGAAGGAACTTCTCAAAACCCAAGAAACGGAAGCAAGAACTCGTACGTATTTATATAAATAGAGTAATAAATATCGAAACCTCTTTATCGATGAAATGACTTTTGTCCTTTTCCTGCACGGGTGTCAACAAAACTGTCTTCAAATCTATCAGGTTTTCAAACAAAAAAAAATTTTTTCTTTTAAAAATGAATTAAACGGCCATAATAAGGGCAAGATTTAAGATAGAATTATTATTTTTATAGCCGAGCTTTTATAAAGTTGAAGGAAGATAGGGGGCGCTACCGATTTTCCGTTTCGGCGGACCTGTCCGAGTACACCCGCTCAAAAACGGGGTTGAGTGAACCGGTTCTAATTTTAAAATTTTGTATTTAGGACATGCTATGGCCTGTTTCTTTATGTTCCTTCCTTTCTCCCCTCTAAAAAAATACCAATTAATATCTTTATATATTCGTGGTAAGTCACTGAAATTCGGGAAAATTTTCACAATTCTTTAATTTTACATTAAGAACGCCGAGTATATTATTTAAAAAATTTTAAAAAGGCGCGTTGCGCCATGATGGACGCTGCTAAATTAGGACTATTAAATCGAATACTAGATAATTAATAACGTTTATTTGAAAAAAACGTGATATATAAACAATGATAATATATAGATAGATATATATATAAATTTATATCATTTAAAAAATTTAATTTTGACATATTTTTAAATATTACGAAAATTTGAATTTATGGAAGATTTTCTTGCAGTTCTGGGGCATGCTCGCCTTGAGCTCCCTCCTCATAAATGCTCAATACGTTTTGAGTGTGGAATGATATATCATTAGGGTCTTTAAAGTTTTTGCTATGATTGACGGAGTAAATGATCATATCCATTTTCATTTAAGATTGTTATAACTTGGAAAAATATTGAATTTTAAGATTTATCAATTATTTAATTTGTCCCTTTCATTTGTCCGTCATTATAGTCGAATCAGTATGGACGTGCTTACTGATTATGCCCAGAAGGGTCTTTTAATCTCTCTTTTCCAGTTTCAGCGATAAAAAAATTTTCTCCATCATTTCTAGATATCCCACCTGCAACTCAAATGGAGTTTGATCTTAAAATCCTTCCCGCGTTAATTCTTCCTTTTTAAAAAATACGGGATTCATCTATTCCGATCGCATACCCAGGGCCTCCCATTTTTTTTTTCAAAAGAGATGGCCTGTCTATGGCAGATTAATCTTCCTGTGAAACAAATTTATTCATCTACTAGATCTTTTTGTGTCCAGGACTTCTATAAAGTGAGAGTCTTCGTTTAATAGGGTCGACACAAAGTACTATTGGAAAATGGTAAAATATATCTATAAAATTTGTGTACAAGTTTTTTTTTTTAGGTATGCAAAAGCACGTTCATACTGATTCAACTATAATGAGGGACAAATGGAAAGGGTAAATTAAAAAAAAAATTGAGTAAATCTTAAAATTCAATATGTTTTTCCAAGTTATAACAAACTTAATGAAAATGGATATGATCATTACTCTGTCAATCCTAGCAAAAACTTTATAGACCCTAATGATATATCAGCCCACACTCAAAACGTATTGAGCATTTATGGGGAGGGATCTTAAGGCGAGAATGCCCCAGAACTGGAAGAAAATATTCCTTGAATTCCTATTTTCGTTATCGTAATATTAAAAATATGTCAAATTTGAATAAATTAAATTAAATTTTTTAGATGGATTTATAAATTTATGTAGAACTATTTTTTGTTTTTCCTTAAAATTCTAACATATACAAAATTGATTAATTATCTAGTATTCGATGTAAAAGTACTCCTAATTTAGTAGCATCCATCACAACCCACGCGTCCTTTTTAAAAAATTTTTAAATAATATACTCCGTTTTTTTAATTGTAAGATTAAAAAATCGCGAAAATTATAACCAAAAATATTAAAATTTAATTCAAATTAAAATTGATTAAAAATTATATTAATTTTTATTTGCCGTTGCTTTTTCAAATTTACCGATTAAAAAATTTTAAAATTTCCTTTTTTTTACATTTTGCCATCGATTCTCCAAACATTCCCAAGAATCCTTTTTCCAAAATCCGATATTAGTTTATTTAACTTACATTGGGCGGAAGAGAGGGGAATTCTGTTCCTTCGTTCACCCTCCTCGCAAATATCATCTTAAACAGAGACCTGCAGGCCCGAAGCTAAACCCGGTCCGGGCCGGACCGTGCGAATGGTACCTCTGAAGGTCTCTAATCTTAAGCTGATAAAAAAAAATCCTAGATATACTTCATCTGTCCTGACCTTCCTCTCTCCCAAAAAATGAATACAATACGTCACTCGTAAAACGATAATTTTAAGGGGGGGAAATAAGCAAATAGGAAGCCAATGCAACATAGCCAAAAAGGGTGCAATAAGTGATCTCAAAGTGCGAATCTGTTACGAGGTAAAATACTAAGAAATATATATATATATTAGAGCTTAAACCGATAGTATCGGAATTGGGATTTTTCATGATGTACCGAGCGATATCCAAATTTTCCCAGGCGATTAAAATATCGACGCAACCCATTTCCAGCCCTTTCAGGGTTTCGTTGACCCCGAAGCAGTAGCGGCCAGTCTCTTGGGATATCTCCTCGAAGAATCTACCTTTATTGTTTATCAGTTATTTTTTTGATTTAAATCAAATTATTCACCCCCCCCCTTTTTTTTTATAGAAATTTCTTTTTCCAACGTTAATTAATTAAGGTAATTTTTTTTTTTAAAAAAACGTTACTTTTTCTATAAAAAGTAAGGTAATAGACACGTTACTTTTCCAAAACTAAGATACAAATTTTTTATTTATAAAATGAATATATATAAATACTTATCAATTTTTTTTCCTGTATGAACTTGACGTCGCTCAAGGCCTCTGAAGATAATTCGATGGCTTGATTGAACCCATTTTCTCCGCCATACGAAATATCTACGATTTTTATGATTTTCGCTTGGAGCCGCTAGTAAAATAGAAGCCATTTTGTTTTTGATATTATTTTTATGAATGAAGATAATAATATGACAATTAAATAAATATAAAAAAAAATTACAATTTACAAAAAAAAATTTTGGAAAAAAAAAAAGAAAATAAACAAAAAATTTAAATTTTCCAATTCTTCCCGATAAAATGTGCCCGCGATAAGAGACCTTGTAGATGGAGTCATAATTTTAATGACGTCATAATAACGATCAAATTTGGGAGGGTAGTGATATTTCGAAGAATACGTCCGTTCCTTATGCCCCCATGTTTCTCGAAGTGATGTTGGGTTCGGTGATAAGGTCAAAGAGAAAACATTTATTTTCCTCGAGGTCTTCAAAATCGATATAAATTTCTGAAGACGTCGAACCGCGAGGAAGGGGGTGACAAGAAAAGATTACGCGCCAGTAATTTTGCCGCCAAAAATTTTGAATTCATTTTTATAATGGAACTAACAGATTCCCAGCACCATTTTTTATCGCTGGAATCTTTGAACCGCAAAATTTGTACAAAATAAAGTTATACGTGGCACATGTCAACTACGTCACGTGAATATTGTTTGAGCGTGTATTATACATTTACTGTCATCTATAAAAATCGTACCACGCATGATTCACAAAATCAACCAATCAAGTTCATGGAAATTGTAACGAAAAATATTCCCCAAAACTCAAATCCCATACTTCGAAGGAAGAAAAGAATTCCCTGTCCTGACCCAACCTGGACATTAAAATCGATTCCATATTCCAGTCCCAGCCCGACAAAAAATTCACAATTTCTAAACCCATCCCATGGATCCAGATAACATTTTGAGTTGGGGTAAGGGGCATTGGGACCTCTTTAGTACATCTTACGACAACAAGGCCCACCTCGCGTGTTCTTCTGACCGGAATTTTTAATTTACATCGATAATAGTGAAAGGTTTTTAGTGAATACTAAGGGCGAACTATACCAAGTGCCGACTATTCGTCGTATACGATATGGATATATATATAAATTAATATAAATATAATAAAATCGGCCATTACCGGATCGAACATGTCGGATTGACTGAGTTCGTTCTTGAAATCGGCCGAACCGGCTAAGATGAGGCCAGAAACGTTGGCCCTATCGTTGGCGATGTACATCTGAACGGCCACCTCGGATACCTTCTTAACGTAATTGTGGCGTTTCTCCATTCTCAACCTAGCGAACCTGAGGGCCGACTGTCCGCCTCTACCTTTACGCGCGCGATTTTTTTTTGGTAAAAGTTAGTATGATGGGTCAAGCTTTCAAACTGGACATTAGATGACCATATGATACGTAATAAAAAAATTCATTCCCCATCCCACCCCCCGAATTATCGATAGGTTTATAAAAAAAGAGTAGGCCTATCCCCATTATCTCAAACAGGGTCGTGCATTTGACCGGTCAAATATGATTCGGTCAATTGACCGACATTTGACCGATCAAATATGGTGGAATTCGAATAAATGTATTTTTTAAGACAGTATTTTACTTTATTTTTATATATAATTAGTAAAAAAAAATGAATTTTAAGAAATAACTCCATGGCAGTCCTATTCTGATTGACGTTTCAATATTATCATTTTCTTTAATCAATCTTAGGTTATGATTATACTCTTACCAATTTTCTGGTTGTCGAGATCTTCAATCATATTTCTTACCTGAAAACGGAAGTATAACTAGGATAGGATCGATAGTAAGATTGTTAGACACGTGTTCAGATAAACAAAGCCCATTCCAACAACTGTGGGCTGATCTGTTTTTTTATGAATGTCACTACTTTCCACATATTTAGGCTATAGCCGCTTTTACTTTTAAAATTTGTAAAGCATCACTTAGAATATTTTTGACTAAATTCTTATATCATATCACGTGATTCATCAAACTCATCACTACCAGTAAGATGTTTCCCTATATTGGGGATCCAACAAATAATCAGCTGTGCGAGCGCATGTCACTTGGACTATTTATGTTATCCAAAAACTTGTAGATTAATAGCTTTGAATTAATTATACAATGGCATTCTGCAGTGCATATATTAGATGCTACAATATAAATAACACATGGTATTATGGATTGGGGATACAATAAGATTACACCCATTTGTATTGCGATAAATATAAATATGATTATTAAACCATTTGTATGGCAAAACTATTAAAAAATGAATGGGAGGTTTTAGTGTGGCACTATATAAATAAAATAGCAGTGTCGAAAACAATACGATATCATGATACACAAATTTAATAACTATAAATTTTTGAAATTGACTTATATCACTTCCGGTAAAATCCGACTCTAAATACTTGGATCGATAGAAATGTTAATCCTTTTATTGACAGACATCATAAAAACAATTTTGGTACAGAAATGGAACAAAATTTATCGTGATTTGAATATAAATATCAGGATATTTTATCCAAAAATTCTATAGGGGGGTAAAAAAAAATAACCTCCACAAGTATAATATTATCTTTTCATTTATTTTTATCTTTTCCCTAAACCTTGGTGCCATCATCTAATTACGGATTAATTTCGATCCTATAATCCCATCCCATATTTTTTAACGGTGCCAATATAAGAGATGAATGTTAGGAATGGGAATAAGGGATGTATTCCATGATTATTCGTCCTCACGCCCCCTATGTATCAAATGTAAATTCCACCACAACTTGATATTCACATTTCGCGTTATGATTTATCCAAGTATTTTCAATCCCGAAATCTTCAGCTGGTCGCCTCGGATCGATAATTAAATATGGCGCATCCCTTTCCTATCAAAAATAAAATGGATGACCATTATAATTAGATAAAAAAAAATTTTTTTACGTATCATTATTCTTGTCCGAATAGTCGGGGTTCGGTCGACACTCTCGAATACGCCCGATAAAATAACGGCCCTCAACAATTATAGCGCGGTAAACCGCTTTGAGGGCTAAATACAAGCCAATTTTCAAAATCGTTAGCGGCGAATCGACGGGGACAAATAAATGACCCTAAAGATGGACAATAACTTTTTTTTAAATAAATGATAGCCATATTTAAATCTGGCAATAAAAATGTTACGCACACATAATCAGAGTGCGACTAATTAAAAAATAGAAATAGTATAAAAATTGTTTAAATAATTTACGCGTTCCGCCAAAACAAAGGCGTGTTAAATAATTTGTTTTCTTCGCGTTAAAATTATACCCATAAATAGATTAAGAGGAAATGAGGGTGTAGTTAGTTGACCGAACCTAACACGCCCCATTAGAGGTTTCACCGCCAAATAAACGTTGGCAAAGTAATTGGATGACCTAAACGGAACGTATCCAATTCCCGAATGAGCATTACTTTTTGGTAAATTTTCTGTATACTCAAAGATCTGATCTTTAAGTCTATTAATGGCGACGAGAAGATGATATAGTATTCATTCATTCATCATCACGGTGGATCATGTGTTCGGGTCATAGTAAACTGCGCCCCCTAATTTACCTTCCTACCCCCCCCTTACACTTATTTATGGCGACATTTGTGATATAAGTCGTCTCATAATCAATGAACGCATAAATATTGGTTAAAATAGATAAATAATATTGTTTGTCGTGTTTTGATTTAATTAATAAAAAAAACTATATTGGACCATTTGATTTTAAAAACAAAGTTTGATCACGTGTGTTAGAACTGTTTTGAATAATGGCTTTAATATTTAACTGGCCTAGTGATATTTCAGTTATGGTCATTCTCTTTCCTCCAACACTTCTTGGTTCATAACTTTGTTCAAAAAAAAAATGATTCAGTACAAATATATAATTGAAATTTAATTGGACTATAGATCGTATCGTTCCTACAAGACTTGTTGGTTTATAACTTTGTCCAAAAATGTAAGGGGGGACTACGACCTGAACACATAATCACCGTGATGATGGAAGAACACTACATCATCTTCTCGTCACCATCAATAAAACTCGAAGATCAGATTAAAAAAATGGACAACTACGCATTCGGGAATTGGGATGTGTTCTGTTTAAATCATCCCATAACTTGGCCAACGTTTTTTTTTGGCGGTGAAATCTGTAACGGGGCGTGTTTGGTTCGGTCAACTAACTACACCCTCCATTTCCTCTCAATATAATTATGGCGTAATTACGCGAAGAAAAACAAATTTACACCTGATGAGATGAAATTTTTTTTAATTTTTTTTTACAATTCGTAAACTTTTATCACGCCTTTGTTTGGGCGGAAAAAATAGACGGTACTTTTAACGCGTCGCGTAAATTATACAAAAAATTTTAATACTATTCCTATTTTTGTGCGTAACATTTTATTGCCAGATTAATGTTTATCTTTAGGGGTCATTTATTTGTTCCCCATCGATTTGCCGCTATCGATTTCGAAAAATTGGCCTACATTTAGTTAAAGCCATTTTTCGCCGCGTTATAATTGTTGAGGGCCGTTATTTCGCACTTCTGTTCAGTGCGGTTAACGGGCGCATTCGAGAAAGTCGAGACCAAACCCCGACTATTTGGACAAAAATAATGCTACGAAGAAATTTTTTTTTCTCGAATTATAATGGTCATCCCTTCTCGTTTTTTTGTTAGAAAAGGGATGCGCCATATTTAATTATCGATCCGAGGCGAACAAGCCGAAGATTTCGGGATAAATTCACTTCACGATCTTTGAAAATACTTGGATAAATAATAACGCAAAATGTGAATATCAAGTTGTGGTGGAATATACATTTGATATATAGGGGGCGCGAGGACCAATAATCAGGGAATACATCCCTTATTCCCATTCCTAATGTTTATCTCTTATATTGGCACCGTTAAAAACTATAGGATGGGATTATAGGATCGAAATTGATCCGTAATTAGAATGGCACAAAGGTTTAGGGAAAGGTTAAAAATAAATGAAAATATAATACTTTACTTGTGGAGGTTATTTTACCCCTATAGGATATTTGGACATTATATTCAAATCACGGTAATTTTTCTTCCATTTTCTATACCCAAAATTGTTTTTTATAATGTTAAATAAAATGATAGCATTCCCATAGATCCAAGTATTTATAAGCCGGGGTTCGCCGGAAGTGATATTACTTCAATTTTCAAAAAATTTATAGTTATTAAATTTTTGTCACATATACCATAATATCGTATTGTTTTCGTCACTATTATTTTTATTTATATAGTAAACACGCCACACTAAATCCTCCCGTTCATTTTTTAATAGTTTTGCCATACAAAGGTTTAATAATCATATTTATATTATCGCAATACCAATGTGTGATCTTATCATATTCCCAATCTATACAATTATTACGTAAAAAAAACATGTGATAAAAAAAACATTAAATTATTTTTAATATCGTTTACAAAAAAAGCTATAACAAATATTTAAAATTTTATATATATGACATAAATGATAAATGAATATATTGTGATAAAAACTTAGAGAATATTAATATTACTAAAGGTTAGATTTTAAATATTCTTAAAATATATTAATCCTATTTTATGTTCATTCTTGAATAAGTTCAATCTTAAATATGACCAGGTAACCAGATAAATTATATAGCCAAAATATTATTTTTGTCAAAATTTGACAAATAGAGGTCGAAACCTATTTGCATCTATGTAGCAAAATCTCCAGGCATACGGGATATTTTTTTGGGGTAAAATCTTAAATGGGCCCCTTTATAAAAATATACCCAAATCGGGCCCATTTCACAACACTACTTTTGAGCCTATTGAAAAAAAGGGTTGAGTCCCTAATATGTTAGAACCTCGTAATCTTTCATCAGATGATGACCTCACAACCACCCTAAGGGCTATGGGTAAATCTCTCATCTGGGATTATTGCAACAAGCTTAACTTAAACAAGAATGATAAATAAATAGAAAAAAAATTGGATAACCTTATTTTTATTTAGATTGCTTACATTCACCAGTGGACATTGTGCCCCTACCATCTTCCCTTTTTTAAAAAATTTTGATCCGTAAAATGCGAATCCACACATTAAAGGCCAAAAAATTCTTTTCTAAAGACAAATAGATATTTTGTGTTATAATTATGCCCCCCCCTACCAGATTCTTAACATAATTTTGTATTTTATATTTTATGTACTAATTGTTAAAATGTAAAAAAAAATATGTTGATTTATTGGGATAGGTGGTAAATAGTCAATAACTGGGAATCTTGTTTATATTTCCTAGAAAATAATATTAGTAGATGGTAGGAAAGTGAAAACTTGTATTTGAATTGAATCGAGTTTAAATAAAATTGCTAAAAATGGGGTAAATATCTTCAATATTCTCAAAATAGATTGCAAAACTAAGAATATTAACAATATTTTTGGCCCTAATTTTTGAATTTATTTTTTAAAAAAAATACTCAATTGAATTTAGCTTTACAGCATCAAATTAACATTATTTTCAATATTGCTCTAAAAAGATTTCTATGAGTTACAAGCAAGATTCATATTTTTTTAGTGATTTATGTTTTGGCTATTTGGATTGCCAACTATTTATTTTTAAAATTCTTTTGTTGGCTACATAAATATTCCTTTTTTTTAATGTGAAAGAAAGAAAATGTTTAATAGTAAATTAGCCATGACCAGAATCTCATTTTTTTTACTTACTTAAAAACAGCTTGATATAAAAAAAAATTTTAAATTAAAAATATACTAACTCTAACCAGTTTTATCCCACTTCGCACTCAAGTGGTCAGGTCAAAGGAACCAGATAGAATATATTTTATCTACCATAAAAGTGCAACCTAATTGAGCATATGGGTTTTGTTATGCAAACAATATATTTCCGATGGTATGAACAAATTGATCACTGATTATAAATGCTTATAGATTTGCTTTTTTTGAAAATGCTCAATTACTAATTGACTTAATATTATGTTTTAAAAAAAACTCACCATGCTTTTTAGGCAAATCTACTGTAAATTTATGCAATATTTCCCTTGTATTACCAGACAATGTGCCAAACAATGCACCATTACCATCCATTATTATGAATCCAAATTTACTGTCATCTGTAAGTAGAGCACTCAATGCCTTATAAAATATTTTCAGATTATAAATGATTATTGCTTCAAATATATAAATACTATATATTTACCTCTGTGTGAAATTTGTTATCACAAAGATAAAGGGATGTGTTAATTGGCCTAAAAGGTTCGAAATCAATGTTAACTTTCTTCTCCTTGCCTTCATCTGTCACTATGGTCCCACAATATATGACTAATCCATTAGTAGGAACTATAAAAAAATTACTAACCTAGAATTTGATTATAAATAATGTTACCTTTATTATACAGTTTAAGCCTTTGCTGCACAGATGTAATAGCCCCTAAGACAGATAACCTGTTAACTCGGCTTTTGATATTCGATGCTGTACCAAATTCATCAGCTAACATCTTTGCAATGCGAGGAATCTGATCTCTTGGTGGAATTATTAATGAGATCATACTTGTCCCATTGCTAAAAAAATATAATTATTAATACATATATATGTAAGGTACCCTCTAGCTGCTTGTAAGCTTTTAATAAGCTTTTTGATTTTCCACATTTCAACATTTTTATCAGAGGAATCACTCATTTCCCAAGTTTTGATGTTTATCGGGAAATTGCTTAATAAAAATGAATAATTGATGTGAGAATGACTACAATTCAATCATTAAGATGACAAGTTCAAATAAATCAGTGCGGAAAGGGGTGGGAAAGAATTATTAAGTAACTTTAAATTGGATTTAGTCAAGTATACAAAAATTCAACTATATCACTGAATAAAATTTTTTTTAACTGGTGTAAAAGTTGTTATTTAACTTTTACTTTTCTTTAGTCTCGACCTGTATGTAAAAGTCGTAAGGCAAATATTTTGTGTTTTAAAATTATTATGTAAAATTAGAATATAGCTAACAAGTATAATAGCGAAAGTTATAACTTTGAACATGGTTAATTGAGAACCTAAATGTATTTTAAAATTTTCTTCATATTATAATCGATACTTCATTTAAATTAATGTTGTTATAATAATATACAAAAACGGAAGGCTAATTTTTAAAACACATTTAAAAAAAAAAATTAAACAACAAATAATCACAAATTTGTAGGAATATTTAGTTTAATAAACAATTGATAATATGTCTGATATATTAAAGGTATGTGCAATATTTGTGACGATTGAATTTGGTTAAAACTGGATAGCTTCGATGCCTACCCAGACGGACAATTAAAGCTTAAATGCCATGATAAAATTTTAAAAAACTTCAATATTACATTTCTATGTGTTCTACATAGGCCTAAGACGAATTATTTATTATTAGAAATTCAATTCGTTTCGTATTTTATGAATACGAATAGCACAATTATTATATTAGGAATGAGGAAAAATATTCGTCGAATAGTAAACTTTTTATTATTAGATTCGAATTATTTGTATTATTCATATATTCGAAATTATTCGTGTTATTCAAAATTATTTATTAATAAATATTCGTAATTTTTCGTTAATATTCGTAAATCGTAAGAGCTAAGATTACCAAATAGCAGTAAAAATAAAAATATAAAATATATGAAAAATATAAAAGATATTAAAATAAATTGAGTCTTAAATAAAATGTTTAAAAAAAAAGGTTTTGGAATAATCAAATAACATATAAGTTTTTTTAAAATAAGTAAAATTAGATTATTGTTTACAATAATATTAAAAGAATTTAGATATGAAAATAAAGTTGTACTTTTTTTTTTAATATTAAAAATCATTATTTTAATAAAATATAAATTATTTAGACTATAAATGATCATAAATCTATATAAAAATATATAATTAAAAGAAGGGAAATAAAAAATAATAATTTAAGATAATTAAAAAAATTTTTTTTTTAAAATAGGTATGATCAACGGGGCTTAATGACCCATGTATGGATATGTAAGAACAGATTTCAGTTGATATTCTCTGTTGAAGATAGAAGCCTTATGGATCACCTGTGATTAAACGTAACCTTTGCCCTATTGTTTTAGAATAATTTTAGGACTTGGGGTCCAAACGATCCACAGGTGTTAGAGATTACCTGAACAAACAAAACATTATTAAGGTTTATTTGTTTGTTTTTGTGTTTTCGGCTTTTGTGATAGAGTTGGAGGAAAAAGATCTGGCAAAACGATCCACACAAGTATAATCCCAGTCGAGAGGTAGACCTTGATTCTAAGGGACTAGCGTCATACCATCTGGTCTGGTTTGATTGTCGGGGCTGAGGCAGGGTGGTTCCAGGGTAGAAAGAATATTTGAGTATTTCAAGGTTCTGTTGATGACTGAATTGATAGCATGGTGTCTGGGTAATCTGCCTTTTGAGAAACGACAGTGTTGGAGGTGGTGTCCTTGACTATCGGTTGGTTTCACATAGAACACATGTATAGGTGTTACGATTTCACATTCTTAGCAAAGATTGATTAATAACAAGCCTAGATTAGAACTAGGTACAGTTTCTAACCATTCATATTAAGGTGGCATGTGGGTGAGTTGTAATTATTTGATCGGGCAGAAGCGTCATTTATTGTCCTTATGTATAATTGGGTTAGAGTAGAGGTGGAGAAAGAGCGATGGATATTTTCTTTGTACAGCTTTAAAGTGTAAGTAATCGGCGCAATGCTGTATCAATGGAAAATTCCAGTAGTCTCCTTGTTTTAATACATCTGGATATGAGCGATTTGGGGCATTATTGCTCCAGACGTCTTAGTGAAAATTATATAAATCATATAATAAATATAAAAAAAATTCTTGTAGTTTATAAAATAAATTCTTAATACAATATAATATTTAAATAATCAACATATCATCTTTTCTGGTTTTGTTGGTCTTCTATCTTTTTATTAATTGTAAGAACATTAAATATTATTATGAGCATTAATTGAATACGACAACTTACTTTATTAAAATAATATAGTTAATGAGAATCATTCTAAAATATTAAGTCCTATTTGGTTCTAATTATTCATAAAAACATTAATTTACTTAGTATCATGTTATTACTCTCATTCGATATGTTTCGATAATTAAATAAAAACTATTTATTGCTATTTCCAATTCTATTTTATTGTCATCTTCTGGCTATTGTAGTTATAGTGGTGTGGAGCAGTAAGTACGTTTTTCATCCCAAAAATTTTATAGAATATTTTAAATAAATTATATAATTGGTAGCATTATTACGATTATCAAAGGTATAATATACCAAACTTATGATTTTCATTAATTCTCATACATCCACATCGAGTTGTGAGGCAACATTTTACCATTAAAGATAATTATTAATTCAGGTAAATGTCCGAGTAGTTAATTAGTGTTACTAAGTAACCCGATTTGGGTCGATTTAAAAAAACGATCGGATTAATTTAACCAAAAATTGTGTTAGCCTAGTGATTTTTGATAGATGTCATATGGGTTAGACCTTCTACTTGTCAAATCTTTAGGCTTATACAATTTTATTTTGCTAAAATCTTAATCGGGCAGTATTAAAAATAGACTCAAATCGGGGTTTTTATCAACATTAGTAGTTTTCTAATAATAAGTGACTTTTATTAGTACATGAAAAACATAACTGATTAATTTTGGAAATGTTTTCAAAGTATTTAAAAATACATTTCTTTTTTTATTTTATAATACTCAATTATTGATATAATTATTTTAAATTAATCAATATTATAAACAGTGTTATATTTTATTAGGTCCTATGTTCTCTTTTGATATTATATATATATATTTTAAACGGTTCAGATTTTCCTATTGTTTATTATTTCTTTATTAAATAATACTTTTTTTTTTTTTTTTTTTTATTTTTTTTTTATTTTTCTTTATTTTATTAATTGCCAAATATATTGAACTAGAGTAATTTTATTCTTGGAAAATAAACAATAAATCTAATAAGAATAAGATAATCTTAAAAAAAAGTAAAAAAAATATAAATTTGGAAGAAAATAATTATGATTTATTTCGTATTTCTCTTTTTAAAAAATAAATACTAATTGATTTATAATATAATTAATTTAAAATATATGACATAATTATTTTTTTTAATTATTCCTTTTATTTTTTTTAAAAAATATAAAAAATAATATGTTAAAAGAATAATTACGCAAGATAATCAAAAAAAATATATCACCAAATTAAAAATAAAGAATTTTCAATTACACAAAAAACGACCAACATAACAATAATATCGATTATAAACAAATACTTTTTAAATTATATATATTTTATAATTGAATCAAGAACAAGTATTAAACAAGTTATATTTAACAATATTATCGTTATATTAATATATTCGTAAAATTATTAAATCAACATATTTTTTAGAAGCTATAAGTCAATTCTTATCTTCAATTTTTTATAAACATATTTGATTATTGCATATTTTTATATGTGACATTTTTCACATAATATTGTTCATTTCAATTGTGCGTTTAAATAATTTAAATATTTGGTCTATTCGGTATATATTTTTTAACTGCCACCCTCCGCATATTTTTGTCTGCTCTACCCGCCCCTCCCCCAAATGGATAAAAATAGAATCGAGCCTGATTATATTTATAACTAAATTAATGTTTATGTGTGACAAAATAAGATCATTTTATTTTCTTTTAACATCTAGTAAAAAATATCCACCCTTAACTCATTATCAACGTTTGGGTAACCTCATTATTTTGATAAGAGTATTTCATAAACTAGGTGTTTTTGGTCATAATTTGATCAATATTTTTTTGTATCATTTTTGTGTTTATTAAAATTTTTATAAACAAGATTTTTTTATGTAATAATAAATCCAAAAATAATAAATCTGCAATACCTTAAACATTTATATTTAATGTAGAAGAAAATTTATACAAGTTAACATTAACTAATTAAAATAAAATGTACCTTTTTTTTACAGGAGTCAAATGCAATTATTACATATGCGCAAAATTTAAATTTAAGCCTATGGTTTTTCCAAAAATTATTGTAACCTACGGTAAAAATAAGCAAGATGCCATATTTGACAAAGCATTGGCTGATTCTAATGCGAAATTTAGGTATAATATATAATATCAACTCTAATTTATTTAATTAGTTCTCAAGATAAATCAATTCTAATAGATAATAGAATCACTTCCAAAAAATATGCTGATATACAAGAAAATATTGAAGTAAAGAAATATAAATTTTAAAATCATACGCCCAAAATATTGTTGGATTTTTTTCCATTAGATATTTACATAATAAATTTTTTTTTAATAAGCTAAAGAACAGATAATTTAAGAATTTCTTCAAATTATTTTATATTAAATTAATTGGTATAGAGGTCCCATAACAAATACAATTTCTAAGTACCTCATATTAATATACACATGTGGTATTAGTTTAAATTTTTTTTAAATTTGATAATAAATTTATAAAAGATTTTTTTTATTTTTAGTAAATATATAGATCTAGATTTTATTTTTAGATCTGGCCAGCTTTTTTAAAATAGGCAGGTCATTCCATGTCCAAGCAGTCTCAATTTGGCTGACCATATATTTTTCTGAAATTTTGTGTGTAAACTAAGGTTTATGTAACCTAGATTTGGGAAAAATTTTAACCTCCTTACTTTTATTTTTTTTAAAATATATCAGGAGTAGAA